TGAGACTTAATTTTCAATGGAAGGTGTTCTATTGATGATGAATGTGGTTATGGCTATGCAATCACGCTAAAACCTGATTGGTTTGGCTATGTTAAGGATCTGGCCACAGAATTCTGCTTATGTATGTAAGGACAAGAATATTGGTGAATGATGCCATGCTCATGAAGAAACTGAGTCAGCTGCAATTCCTTGGCTTCGTCAGACCTCATAGCTTTAATAACCTTTCCAAATTGAGTATTTATCATGGTAAAGAATTGTTTGATTTTGATAGGAGCCTCTGATTTTCCAGTAATCAAATATACCCATGTAAAACGAATGAAATCATCAACAATTGTTAGAAAATAAGACTTGCCACTATAAGTATTTTTTCCAAAGGGACCACGTAAATCACAATGAATGAGATCAAAACTATTGGAGAAAATTATGAGCAGATTTAATAGGAAGCCTCTTTAATTTGGCTAGAGGATAAATGGTACACTTGTTGGAATCAAAACTAGAGGGAACAACAATTTTTACTTAGCTGCTATCAGTCCTTAACATAGAATCAGAAAGATGTCCTAATCTATGATGCCATAATTTGGCACTGTTATTGGATAAAACTGTATTAAAATAGCTAAGATTATTACAAGGCTTATATGAACTGTCCTTAGGCTTGTTATTGTAGGTCTTGAGAATGTATAATCCTGAAATGAGGTTACCCTTGCCAATCATCTTGGATTTTTTTGTGTCCTGAATGAAAACATGATGACCATCAAAATTCAATTGTAGACTAGGTAACACAAGTAACTTGGCTATTGAAATGAGATTAACATGGAATGAATGAATGTATAGGAAATTATGAAGGGTCAGTTCATCATTGACAATGACTTTACCAATGACTTTGACAGGGATCTGATATCCATTAGGAAGAGTGACAAATTTATCTAGCAGGGGTTTATAGGAATAAAAGAAAGAGATATTGCAACAAATATGGGAAGTAGCACATGAATCTATGATCTAAATACTAGAAAATTGTGATTTATGTGAGTCAAGAGTGGAAAAAATCAGGCCTATGACAGATTTAACAGTAGGAGTTGCCTCAGAAATCCCATACTTTGACATTTGAGCTTGTAGATAGTCAATAATATGCTGGAAATTATGTGAAGTCATGGCTACCAAATCAGATCTTGTTGCATTACTTGAAATGCTTAGCTCATGAACATTGTGGTTGTGTTGCAAAGGCTTGGAACCTTGAGCACTCTTCCTATAACCTGGAGGGTAGCCATGTAGCTCAAAGCATTTCTCTTTGAGATGGCTAAGCATGCCACAATAAGCACAAGTTGGTCTATTCTTCTTGGAATTCTTAGAACCAGTTTGAACAGCACATGCCATAGGGTTTTCATTATGAGGAAGAGTAGTGAGCTCTCTTTATTTATCATCTTGAGTAACCATTGAAAGAAAAAAATTGATGGAGGGTAAAGGATACATGAGCAGGATTTAACCACGCACCTGATTGAATGATTCATTCAGCCCCATCAAGAAGGTAAGGATGTGCTCACTTTGAAGATGATCAACTATGGGTTGCGCACCACCATAGTGGCACGTATGAGTAGGCCTAAATTCACCTAGTTCTTCCCATAATGACTTAAATTGTATGTAGATAACACTTACATTTGAAGAACCTTGGGTGCAGTTCATAAGATTCTTCTTAAGCTAAAATACACGAGGACCATTTTTTACTGAAATCGATCAGGCAGTTCATGCCATATTTTTGCAGCATTGGCTGCGTAGATTACACTTGCTGATATTTCCTTGGAAACTAAATTAAGGAGCCAAGAAGATATTGTGCTATTTTTTCGCATTCAATAACGAAACTGAGGAGAATCTTCTGCAATATTTGGAATGGTGACATCCATAAACCCATATTTGTTCTTGCCATCAAGGGCCATGAGCATGACACGACGCCATGTATTAAAGTTATCTCTGACCAGTGGTTGAGAGACCAAGACAACTCCAGGGTGATCAAAAGAATGGAGATAATAGGAATCATCATGGTTAGCCATGAGAGAAACGAATCACGAAACAAAAGATAGGAGGAAGAAGAAGGAAGAAAGAAGGAAAGAAGTAGAAGCAAGATCAAGAATTTTCTGTTGATACCATATTATAGTAAAATAAACTCATGGTGGAAAAATCTGTATGACCTTGTATTGGATGTGATTCAAAATATTACAAAAGAAGGAGCTCACTTATATATGTGAGAATGAATGAAAGTTAGATATTACTAACTTTAGCTAGGTAGTTACACTACTCAATTATTAGCCAACTAACTAATAGGCTAAAAGATCTTAATAATCATCTGTTGGTATTATTTTTCAAATGGTTAAAATTAAAGTCAAACTTTTCAAATAAATCAACGGTTGTAATTAACTGACAGTCTAAAAAATCTTTACACTGTTAGTGTATATCAATTAAATTCTTTATTTAATATTCATATTATATTTAATATTTAGTCAAATAACATTATTTAAAAACATTAATTATGTATAAATAGTTTAAATAATAAATTGAAAGTAAATATATTTTATTATTTATTTAAATATATTTTAATATTTATTAATAATAAATTGAAAATAAATTTTTCTTTTAATAATAAGTTGAAAGTAAATAATAAAATGAAATTAAATATATTTAAGGAGAAATAAATAGTATTCATATAAAATAATACTAAAATTAAATACATTTTAATATTTATTATTTAAAAAATAATTTAAATATATCAAATAATAAAGTAAAAGTAAATAAAATAAATAAATAAAATATTAAATTTAAAGTAAATCATAATTATAATAAAGAAACTGAAAATAAATAAAATAAATATAAATATTAAATATATTTTAACATTTATAAATTTAGTGTTTTTTAAATAATTTTGTAATAGTATTTTTTAAATAAATATTTCATTATAACTATGTAATAGTGTGAAATAACTATATGTAATAATATGAATTGAAATATTGTAATATATATATTTGATGGAAGCAATTAAACAACAAAAATAAGCGGCCTAATAGAAGGGTGCTCCTTGTAAGAAATGTAATATATATGTATTTGCAATCGTGTTATCTCAAAATATTCTTTTGGAAATTTATGTCTGAAAAATGCAAATAATTATATAGTTGAAACGTAATTACGACATTTCAACAAAAGGTTTTAATTATTGTATCTGAATTCATGATATGGGTTTTTGTTCTTGACTTTTAATATAAAAGTTTTGGTTGCTATTGTTTTAAATATTATAAGATTGTTAAAAAATTAAATTAAAGATCAAATGAATCTATGCTAGAATCGTAGACGAACTACTTTTTTTATAGTAATTCAAGCACTCTCAGATTCCCTTAGAGTTTCTATGCAACAATACCTAAAATAATTCAATTTATACTCAAATTTGTATAAGATCGATGAAAACTCGAATGTTGAAAAGATGAAATTCAGAATTATGTGTGAAGATGATTGACTTTTCTAATGTATTTTTTTAATCCGCAATGCACAATTTATAGGTCAAAGTGGTGTTGTTTCACAAGGTTGCGTCTCTTGATAAAACACACACTTTCAACAACACTTGTAGCAAATATTGCATTGTTTTGCCTACATTAACACTTTTACCAAATATTGCATTGTTTCACATTTTGCAACACAACAGGAAGTATTATCTATTTTCGAATTCAAAATACAAACGGTTTAATGTAACATTTCACAAGTATTATCTATTTTTAAATTAAAAATTAATTTTTATTTACATATATTTTTATCATTTTAAAACTCACTCAAAATTATTAATAGTTAATAATTTACAATATTTCCTTGTCTCCTCCCTCACGTTTTGCAAAAGCTTCCTCTTAGACACCTTGTTTTACACTCAAATGAAAGCAAAATAAAGACAAATAATGGGCAATAAATTAAATTTTATCAATGGTCTTAAAGGTAAATTAAGAGGTTTATATTTGTTAGAAGATGAGAATGTGGGGTTGGGATCTGCTGACTTTTGTACCTTTCTCTCTATCTCTCTCTAACTCAATCCTTCTCTGTCATTATATAATATATTTTAATTTTTCATTCATCAAATAAATAGCATAAAGACACTAAATCCAGCCTCGTTGGTCTGATAGGTGCTTTGTTGGCAACGTGTAGAGAGAGGGACCATTTCCACTTGTATTCAATTTAATTTTTTATTTAATTATTTTGGATTGAATATTTAAAAGAATATATATTCGATCTTTTTATATTTCTTTATTAAATATGATTATTAGATAAGTAAATTACATCTTTTTTTAAAAAAAAAATACTGTTTATTAAATTTTTAAAACAAAGATAATAATAAAGGTATAGCAAAAAGTAAATCTATTTTTTTAAATCATTTTTTAATTACTTTTTATTTTTATGTTTTTGTATATAATGACTTTTAGGTTTTCGTTATTAGAATAAATAATTAAAAATAAAGATCATATTAAAATAACTTTAAAAAAAACATTTTTTTGAATTAAATGTAACAAAACGAATATATATTTTTGGTAAATAATTTTAAGTTATCCGAAAAATTGGAGTAGTACATTAAATAATCTTGTACTCATCGAATTTATTCATTCTTTTTTGCTTATAAAAAATAATAATGAAAACTTTACAAAATAAACAAAAATACTAACATCTCACATATCCACAAATTAAAATAGCTATTTCCTCAACAATAAATCACAACAACTTTGTTTCCCTTCTCTTTCTCCCTTCCATCCAAAAAGCACGAAGCCAATTGGAATTCTTGAAATCCTAAAAAACAATGGTTGGAATAACCTAACCTGCCCAAAATAATTGTTTATTTTAATCTACTTTTGTCTTGCAACAACTATATAAATTCACAAACACATGCCATTATTGTTCACCCATTACCAATCCTTGTTTCTTAATACCAACTTTCTCAATTTCTTTTCACCAAAGAAATTGAGAAAATATCAAGTTAAATTTTAGAAATGGAGGCAATGAAGATAAACCAATTCTTTATTGTTATGGTAGTGGTGGCCATGATGATGGTAGCATCAAGTGTGTCAGCTGTAGAAGCACCAACATCAAGTGTTTCAGCTGTAGAAGCACCAACTCCAGGTCCTACATCTGATGCTACAACCCTCTTTGTGCCAACAATAATTGCTTCCTTTGTTGCTCTTGTTTTTGGATTTCTTTTCTAAATTTATGAGCAATGAAATTGTAATTATCTAAAAGATCTGCTTATATTGTTTATATTTTAATGGAAGGTGATTTTTTTACCTATTTTTTCTCAATCGCTTAGAGTAAAAAGAGAGAGTCTAGAACCTTCTATTCTCTCTCACATACTTGGATACAAGGAGCCTTCCTTGGCTATTCGAGTACTCGTCATCTGTTTAAAACACTTTAACTATATCAAACTCTTTCACAAGTAAGGATGAAAAAAAGAGAGTCTAGAGCCTTCTATTCTCTCTCCCGATTTGCTTGGATACAAGGAGCCTTCCTTGGCCATTCAAGTGATCGTCATTCAAACAAAATACTCAACACATTAACTCAATTTATCGCCTCTGTGCAATCAAAAAATTTTCGCAAAAGAACAATCTTTAGTATTTTCTATTGCACCCACAAACTAAATGGTTGAGCCTACTTCGAGAGTAGACAAGCTAACGTTTCACCCTTAGAATGCGATCTAAACATTTGTTCAATAAAATGAACAAACAACCTGTAGTCTCACGAACTACGAACACCCTGATTCTTCATTTCTTTCAAATAAAGATACATAGGCACAAGGGCCCCAATCCTTGCCGAGCACCCTAATAAAAAACCACCCATTTCCCTTTAGTAGATAAAATCCTTTTCTCTTACCTTTCGCATTATTCAATTAGAAGAAAATAAATAACATTAGCTAACATTCAATCACAAATTATACTAAGAGATTCCCGTTGAGAACAATGGACGTGAGGGGTGCTAATACTTTCCCTTTGCGTGACCGACTCCCAAACCTAGAATTTGATTGTGATGACCATATTTTTATCTTAAAGGTTTTCTCGATATCTTCCTATTCATTTTTCGGATAAATAAAGTTTGGTGGCGACTCTGTTCGAACAATGTTTTCCGTGCATGACACTTTTGATCCTTTCTTCTTTGATAATCTTTGTCTTCATCAAAATTGAACTAAATATAAGATGTATTCCTTGCAATCTCCCCCTTTTTATGATGAAAAAATATTTTCTCCTCCTAAGTTGTGTGTTTCCCCCTTAATTGGTGAATCTTGCAATGATAGAGTCAAATTTTTGATCTCATTGTTTTGGTACTTGTTTTAATCCATACAAGGATTTTACAAGTTTGCATGCCTTTTAATCATTATCAAGAAGCACATAACCTTCCAGTTCCTCCACGTAAATCTCCTCATCGACATCTGCATTTTGGAATAATGTTTTGACATCCATTCGATGAACTATAAGGTCATGCAAAGGAACTAATGCGAACAACATTTCAAATTATCATCGTCCTTGCTAGTTATGCATATGTGTTGAAATAATCAACATATTCCATTTGTCTAATACCCAAGGCTACTAATCCAACCTTGTAGGATTTAGTGTATTATCCCTATGATACTTCCTTCTAAATATCCAATGGGTCTTGATCTTTTAGATAGATAGGAAAGTTCCCAAGTGTGGTTTGACATTATTGGATCTATTTCGTCTTGGATAACGTCATTCCAAAAGGAGAAGTCTTTTGAAGTTACTACTTCCTTATAAATCTTAGGAACATATTCTACTTGAAGAATAATAGGAATCTTACGAACATAATTCTCACTATTTCCTTCATCTAGTTAAAAGAAATAAGTCGAGAATCAATTTTGTTCGGTCCTAGATCCTTATCCTTTCGGGCTTTCTTGCTTATCCTAAGTTCGGGTTGTGTTTCAAAAATCAGTGACGAACTTTTGGTTTGTGTTCAATAATCCATGAAGAACCTGCCTCACAAGATTCTTAATTTGTAGAAATCTCGAATTCGTTATTCTCCTCGATAAGGTTTTCAAAATTCCATATTTCAGGATTCAAAAATATATTAGATTCCAAATCAGAAGTCTATATAAGTCATGATCCATATTTAGATGATCCTTGAATGTCTTATAATAATAAGTCTTATTGAACACAAGTATGTTATTCATATAGAATATAAATCAAAACTTAATTGCATAATTTGAAATCATGAACATTAATAAATTTAATTAGTTTAGTAATCAACCAATTCATACTTTAAAATTTCAATTTTTTTATTTCAATTTATTTTTTACACCGATTTATTTAACACCTATGAAAATTAATTTTGAAAAAGAAGTTATTTTTCCAATCAATACCATAATATAATATATATATTGTTGTAGTTGCATGTCCCTACTTCACTCAAGAGGTGCATTTATCTCTGATTATTTTGTTGTTTGGCTTACGACTTTCATTTTTTATTTAATTTTGATTTGTTGAGTCTCCTAAATGATTGTAGTTCTTGGAATCAATTTTGAAAAGATTAGTTTTTAGTACGCATAAAATTTTGGTTAGATTTGATCTTGATCATGATGGTCTTTTATCAATTGCATGTGTAAGTTGAATGAAAACATTTTGTGTTTTTGGTTTAAGTTTGATTTAAAGTAAAATCTCAAAGTGCCTTTAAAATTTTCAAAAAAAACTTGAGATTTTACATGTTTGATTTGAATCATTGAGTTTACACTGAATTTTTGATCCTGATCAAATTGGGCAGAAGCAAAACTAGGCAATTTGATCCAAATCAATTCTTGCAGTTGATCCGAATCATTTTTATGGTGATCATTCTATTTGATTTGATTCGAATCAAACTTTGTACATGATTCAAAACATTCACTTTTTCAATAATTCTCTGGCAGGGCTGTGACATTTGTTTCGAATCAATATTTACACATGATTTGAATCATTCGACTCTTGATTCAAATCACCCTTTCCCTAATTCGAATAAACTGGCAAATTTTTAAAATTTTGTTATTCTTTTATTCCACTACATTTGCACATTTGATTTAAATCATAGATTGCTCGTGATTTGAATCTAAAGTACTTTTTTAACCATTTTTTGTGCTTAATCTCAAGCACATATACAAGCTTTTTGTCATCATTTATCACAATAACATCTATCATTCTGATAATAATTTTCAGTGTGATTTTAGTGAAAAATCAATTTCTGTTTTGAGTGGTCAAGGTCTTGCAACGGAATTCTCGCATCTTCAACTCAATTGAGTTCAGATATTGATAACGAGAGTTATGTAATTGATTAAAGGAGGCACATCCTTGAGACTAATCATTCTTGGAGATCTTGTTGAGTTTTTCAAGTTGTTAGCAAGATTGAAGTGATTGTCAATGGTGGTGACAAATTCCATTGAAAAGAATCATATTCTTCTCACTAGAAATATCTTAGTAGTGACTGTGTGGTAGGATCAAGGGGTTGGTAGCTGCACAGGAAGGATTAGAGCATAATTAGTGATATTGTAAGATTCAAGAAACGTTATTCGAGTAAATATTATGTAGACGACTATGGCAAGTGTGTTGTATAAAATTCAAGATCCAAATAAGAGATTTATTTTCTCAATTGTATCATGGATCGATAATTGTATGAACTCTTAAAAATATTTGTCAAATAGGAAAGAACTATGTAGGTTCTAATGGAAAACCATTGAAGAGTGCACGTAAGCAAAGTGAGGAAAAACACTGAATCACTATAAATCTCAGTGACATCTCTCTCTCTCTCTCTCTCTTGCACTTCCATTTAATTTTGTAGTGATTGCATGCTTAGGTTTTTCAATTCTGTCGTATTATATCATTTGTTCATTGATAGAGATTTATTATGTAAACATTAGTTTTGTTAGAATTAGATAACTAGTTAAGCTAGTTTTGTGAGTAATAATCTGAAAACAAATTGAATTTAGAACTCCATCAATTGAATCATTGTGTACACGATTCTTGTGCATTACAAAATTGAATCAATTCATACCAAATGTATCATCATATTAATCTTTGATATTTGTGAAACAATATGTGTTGACTTGATCAATATTTAAATTGTATAATTTTCATTTTCGTATCAAGTCTTCTACTTGCAACTTGTTTTTGAAAACACTCTAATTTTGGAAAACAACAGTTGAATTTTAATTTGGGTCTATTCACCCCATCTAGACTGTTTTTCTACTTCCATATTCACACCCAATAATTATAACGTTGAAACAACATAACATGTTTCTGTATTTGGCTATATACTACTGTTACTATATGCAAAACTAAATGCATATGCCAAGCTATATATTGTCGCTACTGTATGTATGGACATGTAAAAGTGACGTTACTCTATGCACAACTTCTAATATTATTCCACAATTTTTTTCCTACTTCATATGAAATTGATATGTATTTATATATACATGTTAATCTAAAGAGAATGTACCGTAAACAGTACGATACATAAATATATAATATAGTTAATACCCATCTCACCATGCTATATGGGACGAATTCGAAAAAGATTCTTGTAAAAAAAACATAGATTTTTATTATTTTAATGATTATAGAAACCGAAAGTTTTAAAAAATCAAAATTTTGTGGCCAAAATGTATTATACCCATGACCTTGAGCGTGCATAAAGGAGCACCTACCACTAGATCATTTTGGTTCTTATAAATTATTTTTAACTTAAAATGTATATATTATATAGTTAATATTTATTTCCAAAATTGATTTTAAATAATAAATGTTAAAATATATTGAAAACGTTATTTTTAAACGATTATAAAAAATTATTAAATTTGGTTACTTAAATTATAGTTTTAGTTTAATATCCAATTATTTGATATAAATAGTAAATTGTTTAATTGTAGTCTACTAAAATTTGATAAACGTTACTAAACAATTATTTGATAGTTTTAATACTGCGAATTTGATAAACGTTACTAAATATAATTAAACTTAATTTGATAATTTATTTAAGAGATTAATTGTTATGCACTGTCAATGTAAAAAGTTTTATACTGTCGATACATCACAATTATTATTGTAGTAAAATAAACTCATGGTGGAAAACTCCATATAATCTTGCATTGGATGTGATTCAAAATATTACAAAAGAATGAGCTCACTTATATATATATATATATATATATATATATATATATATATATATATATATA